TGTCCTTCGTCATTCGTCTCTGATATAATATTAATCTCCTAATGTGTATATTTATAGTTATGAGAAAATTTACGCAAACAGTATTGTATTTTACATTACAATACACTATGTACAATTAAATGTTACGAGGGCGGCACTGAAAATTTCGGGAATCAAGGAAGTGACACAACATTACTATTTAAAAATGTATTTATTGCTTTTCGAAGTATTCTCCGCGAAATTTGACACATTTTTCCATACGATGGAACCAATCATTGAAGCAACCAGTCCATTCGGAAATTGGGGTCTCCAAAATGGCCGTTTTGTAGGCGTCCACAGCTTCTTCAAGTGATGAAAATCTCTGTGCACGCAATTTATTATTTATTTTAGGGAAAGTATAGAAATCATTAGGGCTTAGGTCGGGGCTGTACGGCGGATGGTCTAATAATTCTATGTTTTCTTGCCATCGATCACTAATAAAGAACTTTTATATTAGTGATCGATGTTTCTTGCTCTAAAAACTCTTTTGTTCTGTGTGCGGTGTGAGAACTCGCACTGTCGTGATGTAGGATGATGCGGCGGTTGCAGTTCTCTTTACGGAGTTCAGAAACGACCTGTGGCAAACAAATGCTATTGCATAATATGCATACCATTCTGCATTAACCGTTCTTTGTCCCTCAAGAGGAATAGTCGTAACATGGCCGGTTTTGGAGACAAACGTGGCCACCATTTTTTTTGCAACACTCCGTGAACGAACAATTTTTATTGGCTTTAACTCATTTTCGAACACCCAAAATCATGACTGGTTTTTTGTTTCGGGTCCGTACGCGTATATCCAGGATTCGTTACCTGATACGATGTTGTATACAACATTTGAGGATATAAGGTTGTATACAACATAAGAGGACTAAACAAGTTTGACAAAACCTTGTGAAAAGACCGAGAATCTTTTTCTAAATAAATAAATGGCATTCGATTTTTAAAACCAAGGAGTTTTCAATTAAAAAGATTTTAATATAACAGGAACAGTGGAAATATTCCATTTCAGATAAGTACTTTTAGTGCAGCTCTCGTAACTAATCTCTATAAACGGAAACTAAATCGACTATGATTAGAAATTAATTATTAAAATTTATTTCTTAAATTATTCAAATTTATTTCTAAATATAGCTGATGAAGTCACATCTTCATTATACTATAGATTTGATGCATTTTTCACTGTCGAAAGCACGTGGCCTAACTTTATTATACTCGTCCGCTATGCACGATGTCTGTGGGCTGCATGAGGTGTGGCCGGTGGCCGCACAAGCTAAGTTCATCGCGATAAAACGCTTTGATATGCGGGAGTTAGCCGACAGCGAAGCGATGAACGTGTGACTTCGCACGAAGTGACGAAGTAATCACGAATATGTGGCCATATACATCGCGATAACGCAAATAATATTCGCGTTATCTCGATTTGTGTGGCCGAGGCATAAGAAAATCCATCACACTGTTTCGCCCGGTGGGTTGGGTGTTGTTTAGAGAATACAATGCATATACCGGATTATGTTATTGCCTACGATCGCTGATAACCATAATGATTTCTTATATTTACGCGAACACTACACATTGAAATAATACTAGTTTTTACGGAATTTATCGCGTATATTTAACTTTTTTAAATACCCGACGTTTCGAACGCTTTACAGCACTCATGGTCACGGTCAACATCTGTCCCGCCCGTGACCATGAGTGCTGTAAAGCGTTCGAAACGTCGGGTATTTAAAAAAGTTAAATATACGCGATAAATTCCGTAAAAAACTAGTATTATTTCAACGCTGGTAACCATTCCATTTGCACTATACTCGTACCTTTAAAAATTAGTATGTAGGAGTTGAATAGTTTTAGCTTAAGTAATGATTACCAAAAAATGCTTAATATGTATTTCTGTCTTTGTGTCGGTTGAAAATAGTGTCGTCGATATATTATTATCTCAATAGGATGGGATCTAATAAGTATTTACCAGTATCAAATTCAAAAATGATAAGGGTTTGAGGTATTGAGTATTTTTATCAATACACGACGATGTTTACTTTTCATAACAAGTTTCCTAAAGACGAACGAGTTTGTTTATAATCTGTATACATTTTGCTCGAAATACAGTCAGTTAATTTGATTAACAATATATAATATACGACACGACTTAACTACTTCAAAATTTATTAACAAAAGTAAAGAAAAGATACATGAAAACTATAATTATGTAATTTAATGACAATAGATACATAAAAAAAGTTCCGGACTTCACCGATAGTTATAACTAACGTGACCATACGTCACACTTTAGGCGGGACGGTCCCGATTTAAAGGTTTGTGTCCCGCTGTCCCCAAAATATGTAAAATGTCACGCTTTGACAAATAAATAAAAGCGTAGCATCATGCAAACTCTGTCACCCGTGCCATCATTATGACACCGCGCGTACCATGTTTGCCAGCATGGCCTGACTAGTTACGTGATTATTCTGAAAACCTACACTTTTGAACTGAAAGATACGAAGTGACAACTTCTTACTTTACTTATAACATTAATCTACAATAAATTATCAAATAACATTTCTTATTAGTATTTATTTACTGTTCAGAAAAAATTCAAAAGCCAGCAGCCAGATTTTATATGATTCTAAGTTCTCAATCTCACTTTTGATCATTAAAAGATTCAAACAACTATGTGTTTTACTTAAAACTATAAAAAGGGTTCCAGATTGAGGGTAACCTTCCGAGGACGGAAACCCCAGCAATTCGAAATCAATATTCCGGGCTGCTACTGAGAATTTTGTGACAAAAAAAGAAAAACCCAATAAATGATTCTTGGCCCGACTCGGGTTTTGAACCCGGGACCACATGATCAGCAATTGCGTTTACAACCGTTAGACCAAGAAGACAGTCAATAGTGTTAAAGCTATAATAATTTTAAAGCTCTGAGGAAAAATATAAATAATAAAAATAGGAAAGTTATAACTTATAACATCTTTGATTTGTCAAGCCCTTGTGTAACCAAACCTTTTACAACGACGCGACGAGACGTCGCCAAGAGACGACTGGCGCTCTGGGGGCTACGGATATATTTTATGAATTAGTCTTTATAAACCCTCACACCCTCACCCGCCAATGTGCGACGATGATTGAACAACAAAGGACTCTGATCGGTGCAAGTCCGACAAAATACACCCTTGCACCTTCGAGGCGAATATTTCCCCAAGAAAAAAAACTTTTACTTTTTGTGACATCAATAGAATGAGACAGGGTAACGAATAAAAATTACTAAATATAGATGATGGTGAATGGTGATAATCCAGTGCTGTACGCTTTTAATTGGTACCTAATTTAGAAGTCTGTGTAACGGCGCCTCTACACGTTGGCCAACACAGTGGCGAATGTAGTGGCCACTAGCATTGGCTAACGTGTAGACGGGGTGTTTGGGCTTCATTGGTATGCATTGGAACGATGGCCCGCAAGTATGCGCGAGATCCGTGTGGTGTCGGTTTTTTACAAAAGATCAAAAGATTGTTGGCAGAGTTTGGTCGCCGCGTCCACACGTTGGCCGCGAATTTAGTTTGCTACAAGCTCCCAGAGTGATTACACGCATCTGATTAAAATTTTATATTCACACTTTGTAGGGTGGATGACCCAATTACCAGCCTTTTAGTGCCAATTTCCACTTTAAACATTCCTACTACTTTAATTAGCGCGATTTAATTATTTTTAAACATTTATTTTATTCGATAAGCTATTTATAAAAAAAATGAACATTTATTTACAATCAGATTATTACGAGAACAATTTTAAAATGAAAAAAAAATGAAGCACGTCGTTTATACGTGGTAGAACCATGCAGTTATATTAGAAGTATAGTTGTAGCACGAATGGGTCGGTTCGACCGGGGAAGGACCACGCTCTCACAGAATATCAATGTAAAATAGTAGCTTAATGATGCTGTGTTTCGTATAGTGAGTGTAGAGAACCAGAGACACTTTTTAAAGGTAACGAGGCATTTCATCTTAGTCCTCACGGGTGACAATGCATCTGCATTTTGATTCGTAATCGAGGATAGATGTAGTTGTCTATGGGCCACAGCAACCACTTACCATCAGGTGAACTGTGTGCTCCTTTGTCATCCTATCCTGTATAAAAAAGCGTCGATTTCTTATAATTTAATCGTGCAATTTTTCGAATCATCATCATCATTACAGCTCTTCACAAGTCCACTACTGAACATCCTCCTCCACAGACAGCCGCAAAGCATGGTCCTGAGCCACTTTGCTCGTCATGAGTTTTTCATTTATGTTCTAAGTTGTAATTGTTACCTATTATTAAGTCAGTGTTAATTATATTTATTGCTATTGTTTTTATCTTTCTCAAAAAATAATTAAATTACCAAATAAATTATAAGGTGTTTTTTATACATCAAATGTCTGATAGAAATGCAACTACTATACTAATCGATTATAACTCCTTTAACTTTAAAATAAGTTAAGTTTTTATTAATGTTATTTATTCCAGTTTATGATGCATGTACAGAATAAATAAAGCTAATCGTATATCGTATATCTATTTACAACCCCATTAATAGCCACTTTTATTTTATAATTCTTTTATAAAAACGTTAACCCCACACTAGGATTTTCTCCCGTATCGCGCAGGCAGTTTACAAACATAAATTGCACAAGGACACACATCCAGACCCGAAACAATTATTTGTAGAACATACAAATACTTGTTCCGTGCGGGATCAAACCCGCGGCGTCCGGCGCAGCCGCTTATTGCTGAGCCACTGCGCCACGGTGCTTATAAATTCGTCCGCACATTGGCCCGAACCGAAGTAAACTGAACGACCTTCCAACGTGTGGACGCCGTCACCAACTCTCGGCCAATATATTCGCCACTCCATTCGCCACTGTGTTGGCCAACGTGTAGAGGCGACATAAAACAAATACGTCTTTCCTATTATGCTTGTCCTTTACTAGCATGTATTATTACAGGCGAGTCCAACGTATACACACTGGGAACGATCGGCGCGCATCGTGTTGTAACCACAAAGTTACCTTCAGTGGGTCGAACTAGGGAGGCGATGACGGCAGCTGGGAACACAACCACTAGACTGCTCGGAATATTTCAGAAGGTCAGTATGTTAGCAAGGCAATTACTTTTGACTTCTTTTCGATTGACTTAACTTTGTTACCAGAAGATAAAGTTGGTTGGGCAATTTGATGACGTAAGAGTACCTTATGTTTGTTATTATAGGCTATACAACATAATATCGTTACATTTAAGCCGTGGTAGTTCAGATGGTTAACACTCGCTGTAAACCTGCATGTCTGAGGAATAAGAAAAAAAAATATTTCGAAGAAATCTGAAGTTCGCCAACACGCATTGGGGCAGCGCGGCGGACACTTCCTTGCCCTAAAACCCTCTCAGAAATGAAGGGAGGCCTGTGCCCAGCTGTGGGACGTATATAGGCTGTAACTTTACTTTAAATACTAACTTTATTTATGCAGAACACAAATAATAACTAAAAATCATGTAGGCAGCCTAGCTTAGTTGGAATCTTTGATTTTTAATATGCGAATACAAATAAAATTCAATTTCGTACGTCAAAAAAAAAGATATTTAATTTCACAGAAAATATTTTCAAACTTAAAACACGAACAGCGACTTTAGTACATTGTTGTTTTCTTGTCCAAGATACAAAATGTCTATATTTACAATTAGTTTTCAATTTTACCCGACTGATTACCTGTGCCTCTCCCGCTGTGCCTAATAATACAAATAAAACTACACTCCTAAAAGTCCTATTGCCTTAAGTTACGGTCCATTTCAGTTTGTTTTGACTTTACAGATTTAGTGTGACTGTAATTTACGTAGTTTTAATTATTTTTGGGATAAAAAATTACCTATTTTTTATCCCAAACTGATTCATCATCATCATCATCATTACAGCCCTTCACAAGTCCACTGCTGAACATAGGCCTCCCCCAAGGTATGCCACAAAGCACGGTCCTGAGCATCCTGCATCCATCGACTTCCTGCATGTCTTACCAGGTCGTCACTCCATCTAGTGGGGGGTCGACCTACACTTCGCCTACCGGTACGAGGCTGCCACTCGAGAACCTTTTTTCCCTAACGGCTGTCGGTTCTTCGAGCTATAAGGCCGGCCCTTTGCCGCTTCAGCTTAATAATCCGTTGGGCTATGTCGGTCACTCTGGTTCTACTGCGGATATCCTCATTTCTAAGTTTATCACGCAGAGAAACTCCGAGCATAGCCCTCTCCATAGCTCGCTGAGCGACTTTGAGCGTCCTCATGCGGCCAACAGTGAAGGACCACGTCTCGGTTCCGTAGGTCATCACTGGCAACACGCACTGGTTGTACAGCTTAGTTTTCAGGTTTTGAAGTATACCTGACGAGAAGATGTGTCGTAATCACAGCCGAGTTGAATCCGTCGATTGACCTCTCGGTCGAAGTTGGAATTTTTTTTTGTTTACGTTTTTAAATTTTGAAAATAGAATAAACGAGGTTTGAATCTGTATATAAACCTTTTATGGATACTAAACAGATTTTAAACTATAAAGCCATAAATAATTTAGGATTAAGGTTCTGTTGATGTGTTTATGTACTAAAAATCATTTACAATTATTAATTAATATTAAATTATTAGTTTCTTATCATTATCATAAACCGGCACGTCGCTTTCCAGAGTCTAACAGGGCCTATAGTAAACTACTGTATGTACTACTAAACCCCAACAAATTTGTAACCTATAGATCGCAAATAAACTTAATGAGTATTGGATTGTTTTTTACCACTTTATACTTAAAAACCTATATCAGATCAAGGGCCATTCGATATATTTTGCTACAGGCTCCACACTAGCGTAATCCGGCACTGAGTATATACACCACCTACAGTTTAACTTTCGAGTTGCTAGCGTATAGCGAAATATACACTTAGCTACATCTAGAACTACTGCATTTATTAAGACTCCATATACAAGATTCATATTTTTTGACTAATTGCAATAACATCCATATGACGTGCGTCTATCAAAATTATAGTTTCCGCGATTAAGACAGCCCAGCAACTAAGATTTTAGTAGATAACTAGCGATTCGCCTTGCGGGTAATTTCTGGATCTTGACAACAGCGCCACCGGATCCAATTGATATATTTATTTGTTTCATAAAATAGTTGAAAAAGTTTTAATGCAATTAAAAAATATATATATATATATATATATATATATATATATATATATATATATATATATATTATGTGTATTACCTATTTGATAAATTATAATGGAAATACGTTCTTCCTACTATAATTGTGGCGTGAATGGATGATAAATTACTAACAAAAGGTTTCAGATATATCATTCTTTAACTTACCAAAAGATTTTAGTAGGAAGTTATGAAAGGTGCCTTTATTTCATATTTTTTTGTTAGACAGGTTAGGTACTTTATAGCAAAAAAGGATTAAGTAATAATTCATCTACAGAAGTAACACCTTTATTACAATACTTAGTTGAAATTTACTTCATTATCTAAGTATCTACTTACATTTCTCTTTTGTAATTAAAATATTTTGAGTTATAATAACATAAAATACTGTAATTAAAACTTTGTTTACTAACGAGATTTTTAACTAAGTATAATACGATCACTTTTCTTTTAGGAATCGTATTTCAGGTTTATTTGTTGTTTACACTATCTTACCTATTTCACCCGAGTCAAGCATCGCAATTCCCGACGAAAACGTTGCAAGTCGCATGCGTTGGGCATCGCAGAACTCACGTAGGTGCAAAAATATGGTCAGTCAATCATAGTCAGAATAGGTACTTCACCTAAGTAACTTAATTAACATTTCGCAATGTATTATTTTACTCTTTATTGACAGCCCTTAGTAACCACGGAAAGTCCGTCGTGACTCAAAGGTCGTGACGTAGGAAGGGGAAAAGACGAGGGACAAGACATTCGCGCACAGCAATAAAGTTTTATTTAGCTTGCGTGGGCGATTTATCTAATTAATAACAATTATGTAGGCTATTAAACGTCGGCAAGCGGTCAATATCAAAGTACTGCAACTTCTGTGCGTAGTAAGTACTATTATTTATTCTGTGCCCAAGGACCCACTAAAATATAAACAAAATTCATCAAAATCATTCGTGCAGTTTTCGAGTTGTAGCGAAACTAACGAACAGCAATTGATTTTTATATATGTCGCAGCCGTTCAATCAACAGCCGAGCCTCTTTACTAAACAGTGCCGTTCAACTAGCGCCCTGAATGATACTCAGCCATTTGATGAAACAGCTAGGCAAATGACTTGGATCGATGACGTTTCATTACTTGCCTAGCCTTACGGAGTATAGAAGTAAGGAGTACAGACTGTGTATTAAAAAGTGTCCATAAAAACCTTTAAATAAGGGTGGCTCCACTATAACTACGGGGTAAATTTTAAAGAACGCACCAAAAAATATTAGTGGGATAATCGAAGTTATATTTACTAAATAAAATTATTTTAGATTTTAAAGCTATTGAGCAGTTTAACACCATACTTAAACCGTCGACATCTGCTAAGTTCATTTCATCCCAGTAGCTACTCTAGCGCTGTTGTGGAGAGTTTTTGATAGTTTTTGAACTGTTATTTACTGCTTACAGATATCCACTTTTTCAGCTGTTCTACTATGGGAGTTGGTACTCTTTAATTCTACACTCCATACCTAGCCTGTTCATTTCAATTTAGTTCCACCTTCTGCCACCTAACAGTAAAACTCTCCAAACTGTCAATAAGGCGTCGGCAAACAACAAATTTGATGGTGTTTCCCAAAGTTTAATGAAAAATAGCTGTCGCATCCAACTAGCTTAATTAGCCATTCAATTGTTAGGGTGCGGCTGGGTGGCCCTTGGGCCACCCCAAAGCCGCGTATATTTCTATGAATAATTAATAGGCATTAAAAATTGTATTAGACGCATAGGTTGAAACGCATGGGATGAATATCATTCAGGCCGCTAATTGAACGGTGTTGCTTCACCCTGTCGTACGAATGGCCTATGTATTAACCAGCCAGTTTATTAAATAAACAAACGCTACGGCTGAATATCATTTAGGCAGCTAGTTGAACGGCGCTGTTTAGTTAAAAGGCTAGGCTGTTAACTAAAAGGCTGATTAAGCTAGTTGACTGCGACCATATATAGGAAGAAGAAGGAGAAGATAATATGACAGTGTACGTTAGAGTTAGAGTGAACGTAGATTTACGTTGCAATATATGGCTGCAGCACGGATGGGTCATCTCCAACGGCAAAGAGGACACTCGTAGAGAATACCAGCAGCATACTGCTGTTTATTGTAAGTAACAGGATTCTGTTTACTCGTAACGAGGCATTTGGTGGAGGCGATCTTGGTAACTCTAACAACGAAATTAATCGCTAGCACGGCGTCAACTCCGCTATAGATAATATTACCGTGACTCCGCTCTACAAGACTTATACTATAACATCAGAACTAAGCTATTTTCATTGCTATATAGAAGACAATGACAATACAACAAACACCAAAAACATGTGAACTTTTTCATTTTAATTTCGGGGAAAAACACGGATGCAGCTCAATAGAAATATGGAAACAAATATACGAAAATATACAATTTTATTGTGTTCACCTATAATCGTTTTTATGTTAGTTAATGTTAATACCACTAAAACTCGTCTCAAAAAATTATTCTTTTGAGATGAGTTATACGATTTATTAAAAGTTCTCTCAATCGATTTAGTCTGGCATTTGATTTATTAACATTCGTTCTATTTTTGATGCTTTCAAAGAGCGGCTGTAGTAAATTTATCTAATTTCATTTCAAATTTAGAGCTCTACTAGAATAGACTGAGCGCATACTACGTTACTTTAAGAAAGAAAGAAAGAGATATTTATTTGGCCATTTCCTTTGCACTGGATACTCGAAATAAACATTATGTATTGGTAATCTTATATATAACTTGACTTAATAATTATAAATTTATAATGAAAAATAAATCGTTTTGACAAAAAATGCAGATAGGTACAAAATAAATATAAAAAAGCTAATAGTTAGCTATGTTATATATATATATATATATATATATATATATATA